CCTTCAGGGTGGATATAGCTCGCTAGCAGCCTCGCACCGAGGACCTATCCACGTCATCATTTACCCAGAATGCTTTGTGTGTAAATAAAATGGCTCCGTTCATGTAATAAACTTTTTAAAATTTTGTAAAAGATTCTAAATATTAAAAAGGCTTTTTACAGTCTATATTTTACAGTTAAAATAAGTGTTTACCAAATAATGTCTAATGTTACAGCTAATCGTGGATCCCTTTAACTGTTGGGGTTATCTCAACTCTAGTTGTCTACCATAGATAATTCACCTCTGCAAACACAAATTTTTTTCATGAAATTGTTTGTTTTTTACAAGGTTTGACCAAAATGACCAGAACTTTGTAATTTTGCAATATAAGATGATGTTGGACTATTCTGGCAGGCTACTTGCCTTCATTTAAGGAATTTAATTAATTAAATTTAGATTGGTAACATGCAGTTGTGTCAAACTGAAGTAATTATTATTGAACTGGTTTCAGGTAGCTTTCTAACAAAGGTGTTTCTTTCTTGCAGGGAGTGATTGAGTTCTCTCTCTGTCTGCTGTTTGCCAAGCTGGTCAGTTATACTTTTCTCTTCTGGCTGCCTCTTTACATCACCAAAGCAGGTGAGGAACAAACTGAAAACACTGTCAGGTCCGTCCAAACTTTATTATCTTTTAATATACATCAGTGGTCTGAGCAATTTTCAAACATAATTTCCTCACTCCAAGTGTAGTTCTGTTAACTGAGAGGTGTGAAACAATTCAGACACAATGTTTTAGTTGGACTGAAGAAACTCAGATTCTACAGTCCTCTACAGGGATTCAGACTTAAGCCTTCAGGCTCTGTGGTCATTAAAGGATCTGCTTTATTTAACACAAAGCACTTCTGATGCAAAAGATAAGATTATTGTCCCAGCTCTCTGTAACTGTGCAGAGGCACATTGATCAGTCACTCTGCTCTTGTGTCAGATCAAAACTGATTTTTATTCTGTTTGTGCTTCTCAGCTCATCTGGATGCAAAAAAAGCTGGTGATCTCTCCACACTGTTTGATGTTGGAGGAATTGTGGGTAGGTTTTTTGTGTTTGTTTTTTTGTACAGAAAGGTATCCATATTTAGATTTAGCGCACAATCATTTGGGTGATTTATAATAATGTTTATAAATATCTCCTAAATACATAAATGGGTAGTAAATGTGTGTTTTTGTGTTGAAACAGGTGGGATCTTGGCTGGAGTGATTTCCGATAAATTGGGAAAGAGAGCCACTACTTGTGCAGTCATGTTACTGCTAGCTGCTCCCATGGTGAGTTCTTACAGTGGTTCTGGATAAAGGTAGTATCTTGTTGGTTCCAGCAGTTGTAGRCTAGTTGACCACTTAAAATTGCAAGAAAATAGATTAATTTTCTGTTGCAGTGTCACTTAAGTTCAGTTAGATCTGTAACTGGTAACTGAATGATTTTCTGAATCTTTCTGTTTTTCTGCAGCTATATGGTTTCTCCATGATCAGTGAGTTTGGTCTGGGACCAACCATCGGTGAGAAGCAGCAACCACTCCTCATCTGTCTCAGATTGACTCTGAAAAAGATGCACAGATTTATTCATGTAGACTAATGAGCACCACCTATGGAAAACTATCCGGTTTTCTGAATAATATTTTAGCATGTGCAATCAATAATGATGGTTTTTTAATGCTATTTCAACATTAGAAAGTCTTAAATATTCAAAATTAGAAATATCCATCCATCCATCCATCCATCCCTCCATCACAGAGAAACCCAGACTTTCCTCTCCCCAACCACTTGGGCCACCTCCTCTGGGGGAATCCCAAGGCTTTTACACTTCATACACGCATACACTTCCTCTGGGCCTCCTCCCAGTGGGACGTGCCCAGAGCACATCAACAGGGAGGTGTCCTGGAGGCATCCTGACCAGATGCCCGAGCCACCTCAACTGGCTCCTGTCGACGTGGAGGATCAGCGGCTCTACTCTGAGTCCCTCCTGGATGACTGAGCTTCTCACCCTATCTCTAAGGAAGAGCCCAGACACCCTGCGGAGGAAACCCATTTCGACTGCTTGTATCTGTGATCTTGTTGTTTCGGTCACTACCCAAAGCTCGTGACCATAGATGAGGGTAGGAACGTAGACCGACCGGTAAATCGAGAGCTTCGCTTTCTGACTCAGCTCTCATGGTCTCAGATTTGGAGACACTGATCCTCATCCTGGCCGCTTTACACACTGCTACAAACCGCTCCAGTGAGAGCTGTAGATCACGATCTGATGAAACCAGTAGGACCACATCATCCACAAAAAGCAGAGATGCGATCCTRAGGCCATCAAAACGGATCCCCTCAACACATTGGCTGCGCTAGATGGGGGGCAATAAGTATGCCCACTCTTGCACGGCACCTCTCAGCAGGGGTAACTCCAGAGTGAAGGGGTGTCCAACCCCTCTCAAAGAGACTGATTCCATAGCCAGAGCGKTGTGTCGAGGTGAGTCCAACTATATCTAGTCGGAAACTGTCAACCTCACACACCAGCTTAGGCTCCTTCCCCACCAGAGAGGTGACATTCCACGTTCCTATAGCCAGCTACTGTAGCCGAGGACCAGACTGCCAAGGTCCTCACCTTCGACTACATCCCATCACACACTGCACCCAACCCCTTTGGCCCCTCCCACAGGTGGTGAGCCCATGAGAAGGGAAACCCATGTCTCCTCTTTGGGCTGTGTCTAGCCGGGCTCCATGGGTGAAAGCCCGCCACCAGGCGCTCACCAACCTGCCCCACCTCCAGGTCTGGCTTCAGAGTGGGACCCTGGTGACCCGCATCTGGGCAAGAGAACACTTAGTCCATTTGTGGTGCTCATCATAAGGGGTCTTTGGGCTGCACTTTGTCTGATCCCTCACCTAGGACCTGTTTGCCTTTGGTGACCCTACTGGGGGCATGAAGCCCCCGACAACATAGCTCCTAGGATCATTGAGACACTCAAACCTCTCCTTCATGATAAGAGGCAGCCCAGAAAGAGAAATATCATATTCATTAACTCATTAGTTAATAATAATTTAATTTAATTCAGTTTATTATAAAGCACAAGTCACAACAAACATCATCTCAAGAGACTGTACAAAAAATCATCACTCTAAAGACCTTCACTGTCAAATACTGTGACGTTTTAGACAACTTGTGAAAAGTGTGTCCAACAAGCTGAAGATGGAATTTAAAAAAATCTAATCTTTTGGATCTATACATACAGTAATGCTAACAACTAGATCAAATATATAGCTGAAATGAGTAAAATGGTTATAAAACTTTCAGAAGTTGGTATAAGTTCTCTAAAACATTACGGAAGGAAGGAAGTCAGTAGATTGCGTTGAATCTTCACTTTTGTAGCAGTCTCCCAATAACATTTCAATAACCCCATCATCCTATTCACATCCACATTTTGTGTACTGATTAGCCATAATATTATGACCTAATAATACACCAGTTTAATGTTGAGCCACTTTTRCTCCCACATATCCATGACTTTATTAGACCCCTGAGGTCTCTTGTGATATCTGGAACCACTCTGCAGATTTTAGGATTTACAAATCCCAACATCTGTTTAGGATTAGTGTTTAAATTTATATTTGGTATGAATTTATGCACGCACTATTTGCAATATAGTAATTTTTGATTTCACAAGAAGAAACTTGCAATATATTGAACGTACTCATATTGTCCAACCCTGCTGTAGTGTTCGTGGTAAATGGTAAGTATAGCACTTTATCAAGCCTTTTCAGATCCCAAAGGGCTTTACACTTGCAGTCCCATTCACACACTGATGATRGTMAGCTACATTGTAGCCACAGCTGCCCTGGGGAACACTAACAGGTGAGGCTGCCAAGCACCAGCRCCACYGGACCCTCTGACCACCATCAGTAGGTGTGAAGTGTCTTGCCCAAGTACGCAATGACTGAGATGKYTGGAACRGGGGATTGAACCGGCAACCCTCTGGTTACAGGACAACTACCCTAACCCCTYCACCATAGCTGCCACATATTCATACATATTGTATTTTAAAGGGGGCATATCATGCAAAATCCACTTTTTTAGCTGTTAAATATATTTTGTTGTGGACTTGGAGTCTCTGGTACAGAAAAGTTGAATTTACCCCTAATTTACACTACATGCGTTCCGTCTCTGCTCCGGTCCGACCTCCGCAGCAAATACGCACCCATTATAATCAATGAGAGTGTTTACACTGGCTGCGTACAGCTGCGCAGGGCGGCGGTGAGCGGACAGCGATCCGTCAAAATTAGAACAGATCCTATTTTTGCCGGAGCAGCGCCGGAGTCAATTTTAAAGATTACGTCGCACCAACAGGAAAAAAAACGAACACAACATCCGTATTTTCAAAATAAGACACTTTTAGGCTGGATAATTTGTCGGAATAATGTTGGAATTGCAGCTATATTAATAAATATACGAATATATTTCTACACAAATGCTGTCAGAATGTATCATTCTGTTTGGGAAGCAGATAGAAACCTGTAGCATGAAGCATATGTGTGGACCCACGATAAACGTGTATTTTATTTTGAAATCAGAAGATTCAGAAAGACGACAGCAAGACAGTTTCAACATAGATATCAAAAGCCTTTATATCAATGTTTTCAGCTGTTTGGAGTTGGTCTTTCACTGAATTATTTTTTTGCTGTGACTTCCACACTTATTACTGGATTTATCGCGCGATCTCCTTCCTGCACGTCTGTCGGACCGGAGGTAGTGTAAACTGGACTTGAAACACACAGCTGCGACCTGCGCAGAGCAGCGGAGCCGTAACGCATGTAATGTAAATTAGGGGTTAGTCTCTTTTGGTCCTGCAAAGATATCTTTATATTCTGTTTGGGTCATATTTTTCAGCCCGTTCAGTTTTCTCTATTTTTATGATGTTTTCTGAGCTATTACGGCAAATTATCTGCAACGGAATTACCGAGTTAGGTCTGGACTTACCAACTACAATTTACTCATCTTAATTCTCCTCTGACTCTGGGTCAGACTCTGGCTCCAACATCTAAGGCTGGATGGACAAGTCTTCCGTTGTTGACATTTTTTAATTAAATTGTAAATAAAACATTTCTGCAAGCTGGAAAATGTACCCCCCCCAAACCAAAGTGGACCGGTCTGGAAGCTGGAGTGGGGCGGGGCTCGAAGCGTCTTAAAGGAACAGTAACAAAACCAGCTACTTTTAGGCACACATCAGAAACGGAGTGAAAGGAGGGGCTGGTGAAGTTAGAATAATGAGGAATTCAGACCAAAGCATTGTAGTTCCACTTTATAAAGACCCCAACTTAATGATTTAAAAGTGAATGTGCTGGAATACCTATATAACTCTCTGCCTGTACAAGTTCATACTGTCTTGACATACCTATTATTGTATCTCWTTKGATAACTGCTACGATTTGTATAATCTATTTCTCATGATTCTTAAGAGGCCAATTCATGTCTGGGACCTCGCTCTTATTTTGATAATCTCTGTTTCCAGCTGGTGCTCTGTCATTGGACCCTGTTGACATTTGTCGTTCTGTGATTGGCTGGACACAGACTGCCACCGGATGTTAAAACTGTTTCTCTGTTCACTGTTGCTTCAGTGGTAACTTGACTGACTCTCTGATTGGGTCTGCTTTGAGTTACTGCTCAGCCTTTGCAATTGCAAACCTTTATTAAATCATCTGACGGCCATCCACGCAGTGCACTTTCTTTTATTCACGTGTTTCTGCTTTTTTAATAAATATTTCTACAATTGGCGTCACGAACAGGATCATATATCAGGATCAAAATTTCCATAACAGTGAAAAATAAGTATTTAAAAGCATGATATGTCTACTTTAAGCAATGCTGCACCAGTGTATCTATGTGTGAAACAGGTTATTCATTATGTGTCGTATAAAACCAAAATGTTTTCTACTGTGTTTTCAGTGATGCTGTTGGTTTGTGGAGGACTGGTCAATGGACCGTATGCTCTCATAACTACTGCAGTGTCTGCTGATCTGGTAAGCATTCCAACACAGGCCCACTTTTAGTTTAGAACACTTTGGAAATCATTTATCTTTTGCCTAAACAATTCTCTCATTTTATACTTCCCACCTGCCTTTCCCCTTTTCCTTGTTTTCACTTTAGGGGACCCACAAAAGCCTGAAAGGCAATGCCAGAGCRTTGTCTACAGTCACGGCCATCATTGATGGAACAGGGTCTGTTGGTCAGTACCACTGTTTATTTTGAAGCATTTCTGACTTGTCCTATGTGTTATTAATTKGTTCATTCAGTGAGTTTATAACACTATTYGCAGAGATGCAAATGGTTTCAAGTMCCAGACTGARGTGTTTTGTAAAACACAAAGTATTGTGTGTGTTTTCATCTGTAGGTGCAGCTGTAGGTCCTCTGCTGGCAGGACTATTATCTGTAGGAGGCTGGAATAAGGTCTTCTATATGCTGATGACTGCTGACTTYCTCGCTCTGTTGGTGAGTGCTTTARAGTAGCACAAATTCTATCCCTTTTKGGTTTTAGGTCTTCAGAGAGTGTTGCTTTGCATATCCTGGTTTTTGTTTGCAGTTCCCACTCTAATAAAACTCTAAGTTTCTTTAARCTCCCTTACTTTGTCCTTGCAACCAGCAAAACGCAAACAAAGCTGGAAACCAGACAATACCCAAACAAATAGGAACTGTTTCTTCTGATCCTTAACTGCTGCCAAGTGAGCTGTACTGCAGACTTTATTTACTCAT